TAAGGATAATAATTAGAAAAGCATGAAACATAAAGGTTGAAACCAAAGCGAGTTGTGAAAAATAATCTTAAGAACAAAAGAGATGGAGTTCCGAGCAAAGGCATTGGCAAAGGAATAAACTAAAGTCGGATGGCTAGTGTGCGGAACCATCATTTTGTCCAATGAATACACCAAAAATAAGACGAGAAAAATCAAAATAACAACGAGTGCGGAATCATCATTTTGTCCAATGAATGCGGCAAAAAGCATGATATGGAGAAAGCACGAGAAAAACAAAAGTGAAGACTAGAGAGATTTTTCAAAAAAAAAAAAAAAAAGTGAAATAGAATATGTGAAAAAAAATTTTAATAGGAAAATATATTATTTTTTTAATAAAAAAACCATTGATCTGTATGTCGACTATAGAACGGAAGAACCAAGAATGTATGAATGATTTGTATCGTTTATAAAAAAGAATTAACAAAAATGCCGTAAACCAATATTATTTGAATGAATTATAATGGATTTTAGCGAGTACCATATATATATATAAACTCGCTTAGCATTTGCATTGGGTTTCAATACTATGAAAAACAAATGCCATCCATCTTTTCCATTGCATTTAAGCATAGTTCAAAAACATTATAAAACATGAGTAAATAAAAGTTATAAGTAACACGTGTAGTTGTAAGCAAATACAATAAGAGATGTAATATAAACGATGCTACCAAAGTAAAATAATTGTAGATAAAAAAATTTACAAAGCCATGTGCAACAAGTTAAAGCTAGCTTAAAATTATGAAAAATCATGATAATTCAAAAGAAAATATGGAAATCGAAGGAGAATGGTTGTCTCTTAAGTAAAATTTAGAAAAAAAAAATATCTATTTCAATTATCAATAAATAGATGCTAAGCAATGAAAGTATAAAACTAATAGAAAACATGGCCAAACCAAAAAATGGCATTCCAAAAAAGATGAACTTAAAAAAAAAAATGCTAAAGACCAACAAATAAACAAAAAAAGGTTGAACAACATGTGGTAAAATAATATCATGTAAGGATGAAGTTACGAGACAATGCATAGACAGCAAGTTTATACAACAAATCATCAAAGAATGAATGAAATAGAATAAAAAAAGCTTACCATAGTACATGAGCTCGATCGATGTAATCATGTGATTGGCAACGCAAACGGGAGCCATCTTATCACGGTATCCTATAACACTTAGGACATCTCCTGTACCATTATTCTCGGCTAACAAAAAACAAAAAATAACTACAATTAGATTGAAAAACTATTTATAAAAAAAAAACATAGCGAAAATAACGGATGCAAGAAAATAAAAAGCAAAGAGAAAGGTGACATAGAAAGAGAAAGCAAAGAGACAACTTACAAAAGAAGCACATAAACAAAGCAAAATAAAAAAAAATCGATAAATAGAGAGAGTGAAAAACAAAAAGAAAACCTTCTTTAGAGAAAAAGAGTAAGATAGAGGAAGTGAGACGAGACAACTAGAATTAAAAAGTTTTATGTTTCCAAAATAAGCATGCTATCGGTAATATATATATATATATATATGAAAAAGAAAAGAAAATCAAGTGAAAAAAAAAGGAAAAAGAATGGGTTCTAAATGCATCGAACATGATGAAAGAGTGCGACCAAATATTGTTATGAAAGAGATCGGGGGAAAAAAAATCAAATGACCACCCAAAATCAAAAGGGCTCAATAGGCAAAAAAGAAAAAAAAAGATAAATCAAAAAGAGAAAAACAACTAAAAAACTTATCTAATTCAAATTCAACTAAACCAAATAGAGAGAAGGTGTGAAAGGACATGAAAAAGAAGAAGCCAAGCTAATTCCCAACAATCTCACGAAGGAGAAGCAAATTCTACAACAACCAATGAGGTCTAGGGATTCAAAGTAGCTACCACCTCATACGGCAAAGATCTAACACACATCACAACATAGAACTAAAGAACTCATTGTTTTGAATCAAATTAATAGAGCTAGAAGGAGTTGGTAAACATAAAAAATTTAGCCAATTCAACACAACCAAACCAAAAGAAAGAAAAATTGCCGAACAAAATCACAAATCGAAAACCAAACTCGGAAGAAATAATCATTCCTTGGGCCTTCAACTTGCATTAATCTTGACTGACTAAGGAAAAAAAGGCAAAAAAAAAAAAAAAAAAATCAAGACAACTACATTAAATGCTCTATCGAAGGAAGAAGCTAAATGGAGAAAAAGGACAAAGATGACAAGAACAACAAGAAGCAAACAAAGGGTAAAACAATAACAATAAAAAAATAGTCAATAATATAAAAGAAATAAATCGAGAAAGAGAAGGGCGGAAGAAAAAAAAAACATAGTTGGAAGTAATGGAATGACAAGGAAGAAGAAGAAAAGAAGAAAAAAAAAAGAGAGTGAAATTTCAAGTCACAATAAACAATACACCAAATAGTAATGCAACAATAAGTAATCATTTTACTTTTTTTTTAAAAAAAAAGAAAAAACTACATAATAAGTATATTAATTTTGAACATTTTCTCAATTGAGTATATCAACTTTTATTTATTTTTTTTTTAGTATATCAATTTTTTTGAAAATATCAATCAAATTTTTCCATTCAATTTTCCTTGTGATGATAATATGACGAGTTAACGAAAAAACTAAATGACTATATTGCTCCTTTTTTTTCTCCTATGTATATTTGGTGCTCGTGTGTCGGTTGCTTTGTTTTTTTTTTCTTTTTTAATTAATAGTTCAACAATAATAATAATTTGGGAAGAAAAAAAGGATAATATAGTCATTTAGTCTTTTCTGTTAATTGCCACATCATCACTATATGAAAAATTGGATGAAATTTTTTTTTTTGATATTTTTGAAAAAATTGATATGTTGAAATGAAAAAAAAAATTGATGTACTCGATTGAAAAAAAATATTCAAAATTGATATAATTATTATTATTATTATTATTATTTGGAATAATGAAGCTGTCCAGAAAACGTTGCTCGCCAGCTTCCATTAATAAGAGCACTCCATGAGTTAGGAACTTATTTTCCTCATTTTTAGATATATCTGGATTATGAGGCCTTGAAGTGGCTTTACATGCTACAATCATGGGGCACCAGGATATTAAAGATGGTACGTTCCTTTACATCAAAGAATATATTGAAATATCACCAACTATTCTGTTACCCTCTATAAATAAAGCTGCCTCATAGTCCGCACTCACCGATATGTCAAATACAACATGGTCCCTGATGGAGTGAGCGAGCCAGTAAAACCTACCTTTCCCTGTTTTGGTCCATCTCTTGAAGCATTGCTTTCTCTCAAAAGCCTAATAATAATGTCTTGTAGGGCACAAAGGAATCACAATGCACAGCTTATCCCATTCAAGACCAATGCATATATGTATATATACTTTGTACATTTATTATCACACGACAATAAATTGATGCCTTCTTAAAACCAACTCAAAACTTTCATTTTCGTGTATACATATATCCTTGTCAGCTGTTATTTAATTCAGTGAATCAAAATATCATGTATGGTTCCATCCATCGCGAGGGAAAAAAGTGCACGTATCCCAAAAATGCATTCCATTTGCTTATCAATGTCACTAGGAAATATTTTAGGGAGACAAAAGACATAGATTAGACATAGAAGTAAACATCTCAAGGAAATGCAAAGCGACATTTGTCACCATGGCTTTCCCATCTAACCCATCTTTTACTATCTACACAAAGGTAAAGTTTTTGTGCGAGGTGGGGTAGCGGGGCCTCAAAATTAGCCTATTTTACATGACAGGCAATGAAGGGGTAGCATGTGACAGAAACAGATAAAAAAATAGGACCGCCTCTCTAAAGGAACAAGAACAGACCATGATATTGTGCCCCCATGCACAATCACATCATGGCCTACGACGCTGCTTCTCATTTTTTACACCACAAGCATAGAGAGGAGGAGAAGCTGACAAAGACAAACCACTAGAGGAAGAGAATTGATTACAGGCTGTAAAGGACAAAAAAAGGCAGAGGAAAGGTCCCCACCTACCTAGAATACAGACACAACCATAGAATTACAAGAATCAATGAACATGAACAAGAATTTTCCATCTCACTGACCCTTTAATACATCCTAACAGTCAAAAACTGCTGTTGAAAATCAGACAACACTCCGCTATAGAAGGCACTTTAATCAGTCCCTTTGAACTGCAAAAGCAGCTATCCCTAGTAATTAATATTGCTTCTTTATCGTATCCTACTTGATACAGCATATTTATGCCAAAAAAAAAAAAAAGCACATGTAGATCTAATCTTTGATCAATAATAGCATTTGTTACATGCTTTTGTTAAATAAAAATACCCCAATCATAATTTTAAATCATAAATAATTAAAAAAACGATTATAATTATTTCAATTACATTTGTTATCACAAATCGTAACTTATTGTAATACTAAAATAACGATAACAAAATAATCGAATCTATTTCATAACGATAATTATTTAAAACTATATACAATAAAAAAAAACAAGTTGATACACAGTAATCTAATCAGGAATTCACTAAAATAACCTCAACAGGTATTCCTTTTTGAACGAGAAGGAAAAAGCAGTACAGGTGAACTACGCTATGTTTTAGTAGGAATAACCAAATAAGGAAAAAGAAGCCATTCCATTGCAGGAATACAACGAGGTTGAGATCAGAAATCCTCACAGGATAATATCTACTAGATGTAGTTAAACATAGAGAAGGTTCACCAAAGGTTAAATTCCAATCACGGCCTACAAAATTACAAATGAACAAGGATTGATTATGATTACCATAAAGCTCAAAAGTTCGAAACAGAAATCCTATTAAAATAACTTAAAATAAACCGCAAATCCACAAAATCTACTACCTTCAGAAGAAGGTCATACATCATACCAGAACAACCAATCTTCTTCACTGACTTGACAAGAAAGAGGGCAAATCAAATGGTAAAAGCAATTGCAGATAAAAACTGGCTTTGCTCAGAGCATGCAATCAGTTCTTGCAGGCAACCGTCGGAAGAAATTGAGTGGAACCGAAGGAAGTTTGTGGCGGAACCTGGGATGTCTCAACACATAAAATCCAGTGAGGAGTGCCACAACTTGGAAAGGAGTAACATAGAGAACAATGGCAGCAATCAGACAAAAAAGCACAAACAAAGATGTGGCCCTTGGGTCTCGCCAGCTCAGTAAAGATTGCAACCTCTCCCCTTGAGTAGCTAAATCACCAACAACAGTCTGAATCCTCCCTGCAATACTTCTCAAGCGATCATATCTCATCCTTACAATATCAGCAGGCCGCGAGGTTGGGAATGTATCAAATTCCTCATCCAATTCATCAGGATGAGCAGACTCTGCATGAGAGAGACGAGTGTCCATGTGAGGAGGATGCCTTGGCCTCCATCTATAATACCAAACACCAATCAGGAAGAGATACAGGAAGATTGTGGGCAAGATAAGTTCTGGATAAAGAACTAGGATGATAAACAATATGTGAATCAGCACTGTGGTGATTGGGTTTTTCCAATTGCATATCTGATCAAACCATTTCCCCACGGCAATTAGCCCACCGAAAACATTCATGATTCTGAAAAAGTTGGCTTTACTTCTTCTCATACTCCACATATGAGACCCCACATCCAGCATATATTCAACAATCTCCTTCCTCAATGGTGGCTCGGCCCGGCTCAGCCTCATTGATACGATTTGAGTGGCCTGATGCCTCAAGCTATCTAGCTGGCTGACAGTCAGTGGATGGATATAGTGCATCTTTGGCAGCAAAGGTTGTGAATACATGTGCATCATATTGAGCAAGGATGAGCATGTAAAACGGACAGCCAAATGAATTTCTCCCATCTTCTTGACACCACTGGGATGCAGGACCAACAGTGGATAGGAGTGTGTGTAAACCCTGTCAGTTTCAAGTGTGGAAAGACGGATTCGTACCTTTCCAATCCTTGAATCTCTTGCCCCCCAGGCTTGTCCCCTCCATGCAAATGACAATTATCAAAGACCCCAATTGTTATGACAGTACAGGGATCAAAAACCTCCCAAGTATATTGCTCATTCCACTTGGGTGTGAAATTGTCGATGATGGTTCTTGTGCGAACCCACTTTTGCCCATATTTTGCCACACAGTATGCATCAGTTGTTCCCCGACCATCCTTCGTCTTCATGGGCATCAATCCCTGAGCATTGAGAATACCCAATTCAAGTACACCTATGCTGTGCTTCCACAGCTGTTTAGCTGTTGGACGAAGATCACTACTATAGTGTGTTGATTCATCCAGAACATGATAACCACCCTCCAAGCAAATCCTCATGTGAATCCTGCTGGCAAACTTCGTTTCTTTCTTCTTTTCCCCATCTACAACAACATGTTTCTCTAGATTAAACCACCTAGTGTTCACAGGCTTATGGTCCAACCTTCTGTCCACGTACTGCATTGGAATCGCACATCTCCCCAATACTTCATCCTTGTTGGGCGCTATTCTATCTTCCACGCTCAAAATCAAGGGCTCCTCAAAAGGTTCTGATGCCACAAACATAAGGTCCTCGTTCCACATAGGATTAATACTCCTGCTAGGAGAAACTCTTGTTCTCAAGACTTGATTTCCCAGGATAGCTTTAACATACACTTCTGGATACCTGCCTTTATCACTTGGTTGCAGGTCCTGAGCTTCAATCACATTGACCCTTAAATACCATAATTTTGGGGAGAGATATACCTTGGACCGAATATTAGCAAGAGCATCTGCTCCACTAACAGTAGCTGCATCTGAATGCCATGCTTCAGGAAATGCTTCATCTGCCTGTGTTCCCATCCATACAGCTAACATCAATTCCCCCTTATATTTATCTCCCTTCCTATCCTCCAACCGATACCACTGTGGCGCCAAAGGACTGTCAGGAGGAACCCGTTTTGGTACCTCGTTCAAATCAAACAAAACCCGACCCATGAAATCATCCTTCACAAAATCCTTATCCTTAACAGTAACCTCAAGCATCGAAGCCTGAATACGATCCTTTGAAAAAGCAAACACCTGGTTCCACTCCGGATTCGACTTCTTCTCAAAATGCCGAGTAGTACCCTTATAGTTTCCAAGTCTAACTTCCACATAAGGATCACAACTACCCGTAACATCCTTTCCAGGCAAGTCCTTGGCCTTAACAACCCGGACATAAAGGTATTGCATCTGCTCCACAAGATCATAGGTGCTCGTAAGCTTGTCACCAGTGATCTTGCCCCCTCCAAGATGGGGATTGGTCTCTTTCAATAGAAAATCATCTGGTGGAGGCCTCTGCATCATGTAGGTTCAAATGAGCGACACCCAAAAAGCAACCCCAACAGTCTTTTTCAAGTTGAAGAGTTTGTCTTCTAATGAACCAAACTCAAAGCCTTTCGATTCAAAAACCCTGAAATATAGGAATAAAAATTCCTATTAGCCGTTACTAATTACCAAACTAGAGTAATTTAAAGAGTCAAGGAGACTTAATAATAGGAAAGGGAAAAATATCCAAACATTCAAAGAACCAACAATAACTTAACAGATAAATATGAAAGAGAATATTAAAAATAAACAAATAAACACGAAGAACTCAAAACGACATTAATATAAAACAAAACTACGCAAAATTATCTTTAATGTTTCATCAGATCCTTCAAATGACTGTTACTTACAAACAAATCTTTAATCTTCAGATCTGGAACACTTGAACACTGTAAAAAAAAAAAAAAAAAGACAGCAAAACCATAAGATATAAAACATCAAATGAAATATGATTCAAAATTTTTATACCAAAAAAACAAAATGCTCACAATCTGTACCGTAAACTTCCTTTTTCCGTTTGGTTGCTCAGAAAATGTAGGAATATCCAAGAAAATACAACGTGTACTGTCACAGATATTTCATCTCCTTTTCATCGACTTAATAAAAAAGCACATTCAAAAAATCTTGTTTGGTTTCTCAGAAAGTTAATAACAAGATGAGTTCCAACACTGTAGCACAGCTTGCATAGGGTTGGGGTTTTTCAAATTATTTTCCTTCGCTTTAACTCATTTTCTCAGAAAATAAAAGCACCGAACAAACAAACAAACAAACAAACAAGGTTACAGTAAAACCAAAAAAAGTAGCATTACAACTTTGGAAAACCAAAACAAAACGTAACAAACAACATAAACCAAAACCGAAACAAAAAATGTTAGAAACTAAAATGCAAAAAAAAAAAAAAAGGACAATCAATAGTATACCTTGAAGAACATGAGGAAGAAGAGATCCAAAAAAGAACCCTACCGCTCCTTCATCTACATAGACAGGGAAAATCAAAAGAGAGAAGAAGAAAAGATAAGAATGAAGAAGAGAGAAGAATTCTAGAGAGAGAGAGGGGGCAGTACTGCTTTTGCTTTTGCCTTTTTTTATTTGTTTTTCACTTTAATGAATATGTGAGAATACACACAGAACATACTCTCTCTCACTTTTTTTTTTTTTTTTTTTGGGGTTCTCCGTTGTTTTGTCTCTGTTTGTGTACAGAGGGAAGGGAGAGTGGTGGGGACCACGGTCAAGCGTGTAAAGGACTGTGGTCGGGGTGGCACGTGTAATGACCGTTTGCTTTTAAGGAGCGTTGTGTTGTGTTTGTGTGTGTTTGTTGGGTGGGTGAAATTGACATAATAGGATTTAGGAACCTCCTTGATTGGTAAGCAAAGAGTCTTTCGTGTTCCGTCATTGGATTCTTTTTTAGATGGCGAAAATGATATTTCGGAATTGTACGGTTTTATTTTTATATTTTGTGTGTTAGTTAAGCATGGGAGATAGATTAGAGTTGTTAAGAATAAGGTTACAACTAATTGCGTTGAGTTGGAGCATGGTTCAAATAGGATTTGGTTAACGTGGATAATAAGTTGAGGCTAAACGACAACGGATTTAGTTTCTTGAGTTTGTAAAAAATTCAAGTCAAATGACTTCCACTTAATTGAAGCTGGGATGAAATTGGATGTTAAATGAGTTGTTTAAATTATTATCTAAAATATTATGCATTAAAGTGGATTTTGTGATGTTAAAGTAATGGTTAAGATATGTATCTATCATGAATATTTATTAGATTCTTGATCTTGTGTGTGGCAACATTGACATTCTCTATTGAGTTTAAAAACAACTGTACTCTTTACTATTACACTCCTCTCATCCAATCCAAATTATTAAATTAAAAAATAACAACAAATTTTGAGAGATGATTAGTTATGTTCTGTTAGGAAAAAGATGATCCAAATTCCATAAAAAAAAAAAAAAGTGTTTAAAATGTGATGATTGATTAAATTAGTAAAGTTAACTAGTTTTGTTATATGTGTTATACTATCGGACGGAACACATAAGTTATTTTTTAAAATTTATTTTAGTTTAATATTTCGTATTATATTGTGCATATACCAAAATATATCAAATAAAAATTCATTCAATTTTATAAACTTTATATTTGACTCATTATTCTTTATATTTTTCATAATTTTTTATTAAAAAATATTATTTATTTATCTCTCGTCCACATTCTTAACTAAAAATTTTATAATAATATAAAAAAATCAAAATCAATGTATTCCTAGCTAAAAAATAATTTTGTAAACTATTTTTTAAACATTTTTTGTCTTAAAATTTTTAATTAAAAAAATCAAATAAAAAAAAGTAAGGAACAAAGTAACCAAAATGAAACAAAAAATATTTATGGACTAAAAAAACAATATTAAAAAAAAAAAGACTAAAGTGTGATATCATAAAAACTTTCATAATAAATACATTTAAAATGTTTGAAAGATATAAAAATACTACTGTGTAGTAAAAAGAATAATACACCTAAATCTTTATGAATAGTGCGAATAAGTCGGTTGAATAGTATTTCAAATAGTATAGTGAATGATAACCGATCATTTTACTTTATTATTTTTTTCTTTTTTGTTAATAATGCTTTTTCAAGGAAAAATGTTGGAAAAGAGAAGCAAAGGAATCCATATTTAAGTGCCATCGTTATTAAAAGGAGTAAATTATAAATTAGTCTCCGATTTTGTAAAATAAATTAAATAGTCTTTTTTTTAAAAAAAAATTTGACTAGTCTTCCAAATTCCAACCAGACATTGATTATGATTAGTTTAATATTATTTTATTCTAAAAATATTTTTTATCAATATTTTCATATTTTTTAATTATTCTTTCATTTTTCATTTGTTAAAATAAAAAATAGATTAAGCTATAAATATATTTAAAAATATAAGGACTAGTTAATTAGTCATTGAAACTAGAAGAACTATTTAAATTCATTTTTAAAAACTTGAAAAACTAATTTATAATTTATTCTTGTTAGAAGAGTTAAGAGATTTGGTTACGAGACTACTATTGTTTTTAATTTGTGTAGATCAAAGGTACGGGGTTTGATTCATGTTTGAGTGGTGGATTGCATTTTGGATTCGCATGCTGAAAAAATATATACAGCTTTGGAAAATTGTTTTTGCCTTTATTATCCTCTATTTGATGCCATTTCTTGATATAAAAAGTTCCAAATAGTTATATGCATAGCCTTATTTATTTCATTTATTCATAAAAAGAAGAAGAAAAAGAGTATTATTATCCAAAACACTAAAAATTTAGAGAAAATACTATTCATGCTACTAGTCACATACTCAATAAGCTATTCACTCATATTTATATACATTATTTTCACCGTATAGTTATTTTTTTGTTATTTTTGAGTTATTTTCAAGCATTTGTATGCAAGTTTTGCTCAATATTACGCTTTGATCTTTCATATTTTCAAAAGATTTTTTTTCATCTTCAACTTTATTTAGATTGCATTTTGATCTCTAGATTATTTTTTTCCAGTAATTTTTTTATTGTTTATTTATTATAGATTTTGTGCTAAATTAAGAAAAAAAATTGTTGTCATTTTAGTTTTTCACGTAGCTTAATGATGAACAAATATGATTTTTTCGATTTATCATTTCTGATTTTTTTTACTTTTAGATTTTAGGAAGATTTCTTTGATTTTTTATTTGTATAGACACATCCAATTAATTTCTTAATTATTTTTATATTTTAAGCATATATGATTTATTTTTCTCCCTGTATCAATTTTTTAAATATTAGAATATGATTTTTTTAATAAATATATTAATATAATTTACACACACATATATATGTATATATATATATATCCACTAAGTATAGTCATGATGTATATATAAAAAAATTTTAAATTATCTATTTTAATTAAGTATGTATTTACATACATGAAACCAATCATTTACTCTTTTTTGAATATTTTAAAATTAATTTTTTTTAATAAAATAATTAAAATAATATTTAAAAACAGTCACTCAATTATGCAAATATAGTTTTTAACAGTATATTATTGATTATTTTGTAATTATATACGTATAAAGTTAGCGCGTACATTAAGTTGGATATTTACCAAACAGTTCATAGTGACAAAAGCTTTGCTGTACCCTTATGGAATTTCCAACGTCGGAAAGCGTGCACCTTTGTCGAGCACATACCTGTATACATCCTGACGTCTGTTTTAAGGTCAAGTACAGCATGGTAATTTCGAGGCATGCTCAAGGATTGCGTGTCCTTCACTGATGTAGGTTTCATTGTAAACATATGCGGCTGACGGTGTAGGCAATATTAAAGCCGTACAAGGACAAAAGGACTGCTTTCGTTGGAGCTAGCTTGCAAGACCACCGAAGCCAGCATTACCAGCATGAACAGCTTCTCTAAAACGTCCATTTCGCGCAGCAGATTATGGTCAAAGACTACAGTTAGCTGCTCCATATTTGCATGAATGCAAGACAAATGAAAGCTTCCCTACATTTGAGGCATGGGTTTTTCGAGGTTTGCCTTGCGTGTTTCTTTATTTTGTTATCTAGCTAGGTATGATATTGTTTCGAGATAATGTTATTCAGGTGGTTTCTTTCATGGCAGGATCCATTTCCACTTTAATAATGTTATTTTTATTAACTAAAAACTTTGCGTGTGGCTTAGATGGGCCGTGAAAGATCAATGAACGTTCTCTTTGTTTGCTTAAAATGTTCCTGATTTTTAGATATTCAAAGCAAATTCGGGAACTGATTATTAGAATTAATTTGCTTTCCAGTAAAGAGAGTGTTTTGTAGTTTGAAAGAGCGTCACTTGTTTTTTCATATATTTCATATAGGATTTATAAATCAAATAATGTCACAGGATTCATGCGATTTCATTATCTTTCCATGATATATACGAATACACACAATATATATTTTTATTATCTCAACATTTAATGTGGGCTT